GATGCTGTGACGTTGACGTTTTGTAGTCCCATTTAGCCACCTGTTAGCAACCACCTTTTTTATTTACTGACGTATTTTATATCTTAGTAAAAAGCATTAAAATCGATTTAACCTGTGTTAACCCTAGACCATCTCACCAAAGACCTACTCAGGAAAGAAAGGCCATTCTCTTTTTTAGTCGCGGGAGCCGGCGCGATGCTAACTTCAGGTGGTTGGCCTACAGAAATACGTCAATGCTGCAGCGCTCTATATCTACTCCGCTGTGTGCAACTGGGAGGGAAATCTGTGTCTCTCTCTTACTTTGTGTCCCGGAGGTCCCCCCCCCACAATCCTTTGTAAGCTGTTTATCACCCATCTCCGCTAATGTAAACCGCCCATCTGTTTCAAACAAAACACATAAAAACACACACAGTCATTTCCCACCCGAAAGAGGGGGATCGCTGGATATTCTGGTGGCGAGGAAATACACTCCAGATGTGAAACAAATTGTCCCTCTTACTAATTACTATTGTGTTCTCCGATGCTGATTTCGGGTCTCTTAGGGGTTGTATTTTTGGCCTAGATTGGGGGGCTTGTTTGTGTGCATGTTTGAAAGCTTGGGTGCACGATTATGAGGCCTACGGCGTTGAGACGAGAGATGCGAATGAAGAAGGTTCACCAGGACACCGGGGGAAGAGCTGGAGACTGTTAATGCATAAATACGCGCAGATGTTTCTGCTCAGCTGCCTGATGAGCCCTCTGTCCTCTCATCAAAACTTCTGAAAGGGGCGTCTCACCCTCGCAGTGCATCCAATCAGGGCTGATGAGGTGTGCGGTGGCTCAGAGAGACACGCAGTGGGGAGTGGCCCGCTGCTGTCGTGTTCACACGCCACTTTCTGCAACGTGAGAGAGAGAGAGAGCCAATCAGAACGAGTCCCCCCCCCCCCCCTGCCACCATGTTGTCGATTGGCGAGACAGTTAAAAATCACTCGGCTAAATAACAGACCGCCGCGCAGCTGCAGTCGACCTGACTGTGGCTGCACCGACCGCGATGCCATCCAAATAAACAAACGGCGGCGAAAATGAAAGCGGTCCCGCCCTCTTTGTGCCGGGAAATCGCATCACCTCAGCCGTCTCGACCATCTATTCTTGGTTCAGTTTGTTCCACGGCGTCCTCGGCACGGAAAAGCTGCAGGAGGAGAAGAGACAAAACGCCAACGGCCCGGGATGCACCGATACCGATATTGGGCCGATACTGACTCGCATAGCTAGATCAGGTATTGTTGACAATGTGGCCCATCTATTCATTTCAGTTCTAGGTTTACGTCTGGTTAGGCCTACATGTGCGCGTGCTGCGTCACGCATTAGCTACACGCCAGTAGACCGCTCAGCTGAGGGAGCAAATTGGAGGTATTTCACGTCCGATACGCCGAAAAGTACTTCAGCATCTGCAAAGCCAATGTTTGGAGGGGTGTCCGCCGAATGTCACACAGCCAGCTTAATCAAGGAGCATCGCCCCGAAGAATTCTACGAATTTGAAAGATTTTCTTTCACCAAGTTGCCGCCGCACGATATTATACATTCAACAACAAGACACAAACAACAATTCAGTACATTTATATACGTTTATATCTGCGTATTTAGTTGTAACATTTGGTTTTACAAAGTTATGACAAAGTTATGACAGTGATATTTAAGTCAAGTCTGATGATGTTGATCCCAGTCACTTTATTTATTTTACCTTTATTTAACCAGATAAGTCATTTGAGAACCAGTTCCACAGTGAGGCATACAGCTGATTCATTTCACACTGGTATCGGATCAGTCCTCGGTATCGGGACTGAAAACAGTGAGATCGGTGCATCTCTAACTACAGCCGAACTATAAACAGAGGATCTCCTCCTAAAACCTTTTTTGCGTTCTTCACACATAGCATAGAAATCGTTCTGATACACAGGTGCAATAACAAAATACTCTTTGGATTGAACATAGTACATGTTATACTCACAGTCACTTTATTATCGGGCTGATATAAAGTTTCATAGGCAACTTCTATGTGACCTTCCTTCCTGTACCACATGGCCGTTACTGTGAAAAAAAAGAAGAAGAAAAAACTGAACCAAAGTGTGTCAGACATCTGCCTTCATCTTTTTTTCTCGAAACATAATTTATTAGGCTAAAGCACCTGTAAATAGTTCACTTATGTTCCTCTATAATAGTTTATAATGTCAGAGCCGTAAGAGTTCAAATGAAGTTTTCCAGAAATGATTAGATTAAAAAAGAAAGAGAATATACCAATAATTATCTGCTTATTATTCTACAACAAAATACAATAAAACAATAGCAATCTTATTTTGCTCAAATATTAGAGAGTCCCTCCTGTTTCAGTGTCTGTTGGTGTAATATGTGTAAAGTCTCACATTTAGATGTGATTTAATTAAATGTGCAATGATGGGATTCTTTCACTGAAATCAACAATTTAACTGAAGCACACTATTTCATGTGAACTTTCTCACTTTGAATATTTCATTCTTAGCACTTCTTTGATTGTCCTAATAATGAATGCATAATGAAACTTAAAATGTTGCCTTTAAGGTTAATTATACATGAATGAGCCATTACTTATTATTAATTGCATTCTTATACAAGTGTATTTAAATGTAATGTGTATTATTATTATTATTATTATTTGTGAGCAAACAAATACTGCTGTGGAGACTAGACCAGCCTAAATTTGCTATATTTTTTTGTCTCAGTTCAATACTCAATTATTGTCATTTTTCACACTTTTAGAAATAATTCTTTGCCTGAAGACAAAAAAGTTATGTGACTTTTTAAAGCGCTATCGAAAGCTAAACGACATCCTGGTCTTCACGTGGACATGTTGTGATTTTTTATATATATAAATGTCCAGCACGCGACTAAATCAACTTTCAAAGTTTTTTGGGATCCAGTTTTTTTCTCTCTTCCTCGCAGTTACTGTAGCATTCAAACGGAACTGAGACCCTCAGATAGAGGACTAGAGCCCGGTCCACGAGGGTCTGAATCGTCTACCTGTGCCCGTTGGGTCCAGAATGATGGCTGTCTCCGCACGTTTCGCACCCAACTCTTGAGAGAATGAAACATTACATCTCGTCCACATATGTGTTGAGCACAGGTAGGCCTATAGCTGCGGCTTCTGGAGTCCCCCCCCCTGAACAACTGGCATTTTCTATCCCGCTCCGCTGTATTGAACACGCCAAAAGCGTTCTTTTGGTGCTTTCATGATCGGTCGGAAATGTCGCAATTACGAAGAATCGATTGATTACAAGACCAAAGATGCGAATACACAACTGAAGTTCTTTGTGATTTTTTTTTTAAACTAAGCGATCATTAAGCCGCTAAAGTAGTTTATTATGTTTATTTAATAATTTAAAAAAACAAGCAGTGGCACTCCAACATAAAAGTAGCCTTTCATGCTCTTCTAAAAATAAATAAATCTACAGGCATAAAAACATGAACCTTTTTTTTCAGCGTTTATTAAACTGTTATCTTCAACAACACACACATTTTGTTTTGTTTTTTACAGGTTTGAAATGTGAGCAGTCGGGGCAGCACTTGAAAGCAGCATTATTGAAGAGTCTTGCTCGCTCCCCCAACGCTCACTCTCCCCCTGCACCACCACATTCACCCTGCGGGCTCTGGGGGCGGGGGGGG